GTCAGGTTCCTGTGCTTATCTACAAGGCTTCGTACCTACCTGTGTGCGGAGCTACTCGGCCCAAATATTTGCTATTCACACAGATATTACTACTTGAAGAAGTCACTCTAGATCGGTAGGAATGTAGGTCCGGATATGACACATCCTTATCACTATTAACATCTTGTTTCTTTAAGCTTATCTCAAAAGAAAAGCCAAGACTCCATGAAACCAAATCAACACGACCAATATCATTTATATTCTACCCACAATCAATCCGCCTACATCTATACCTGTTGCATATTCATCAACTACGACCACAATGGAAGGGAATGATTCTAACTGCTCGGTCGTTTCCAAGTATGACGAAATCATCGAGTCCCCAGACGACAGTAGCGGCCCTCTGACCTTTGGTATTGAGCTGGAATTCCTATTTCCCCTTCTAAGGGACGGAGCCAGTGATCCCGACCCAACTGAGAGGCGGCCTCTACATAGCTTCATCGGTTACGATGATACAGATCGCCAACTTATCCATGTTCTAGAAAAAGCTTGCGACATCCGTTTCCGCCTCTCAAAACAAGATGTCTTCCACGAGCCCCATTCCAACGTAGTTATCTACGATAAATGGCGTCTTACTAATGATAATTCCGTCAGATTTCGCAAACTCGGACCTAGAGAGTACATTTGGACTGGGAGAGAAATTACCTCGGAAGTTATGAGAGCCGACGAGCCTGCAGTTTACGTCAAGAGAATAACAGATGTTTGCCATGCTATTCGACAAGCCCGCGTCCACCTGAACCAGTCAACTTCAGTACATGTCCATGTTGGACGTGGCGAAGAATCATTCAGCCTCCTTACGATGAAGAAATTCACTACCTTGATTCTACTCGTAGATGACAGGCTGATGAAGCTACACCACCCTTGCCGCCAAGAAAGCATTCACTGTCGTTTACTTTCTGAGTCGTCTACTCTTGCGTCATTGGGACATCGGGAATTGATGGAAGGTAGTAACGGATTAAACGAATCCCAATCAAAACAAATGCTCCAATTCGTGCCGAATACTTCCCCAACAGTGAAAGTTCTACGGGTCAGTCTCGAGATACTATCTATCCCCTTACCCTAGGTAGTTAACCCACTAGGCGGATTCCATTTTCTAACATCTGAATACGGTATAGATACGCCTTCTCTAGGCAAGTAAGTGTATCAGGGAGCTAGCAGAAATGATGTGTAATCCGAATGAACCTCAGTGAGTACTTATAATATTCCATTTCAAAACACATCTCAAAAGGGTCGCAACGCTAACTCTATAATCCGTTATAGAATCTACAGAGGCTCAGTTGGGTTCACACGGTTCCTGCCGGCGGGGAAGACCGGAGGAAATACACACACTTTTGAATTCCGACAGATGGCTGGATGTCTAGATCCTGTGCCTATAATTCATTGGGTGCGAGTCTGTTTAGCGCTCGTCGATTTCGCTAGACTCTCTGACGCCCAAAGATACAAGGATTTATTGGCCAAGATAATGACAGGGGGATCTACCTTTACGGAGTTTAATTTACTTTCGGAACTCAACTTAGTTGAGGAAGAGAAGTACTTTAGGTCTAGTGTAGAAGGATACAGCCAGAGCTTGGAGTTCTACGCAGGAGAGAATTCGGGATGCTTATTTGTCCCCCAGAGTGAACGAGAACAATATGTTGTTTCTACAGCAACTGAACAAAGCTAATTCATAGTTCATACTTCACTTTGAGGCTGATAAACCTTGATTTTACTATCATGGATACGTTATGTTTGTTCTGTTTCGGAGAAACCTGAATTGAGACCGTCATATCCCCCAACTCGTTCACTCCTTAGAACCTCAGACTAATTCTTTATCCACTCTCAAAACCTTCAAACTATCAGTTATAGACTTCGTCACCACAGTAAACCTTTCCTAGCTCCTGGTTCCCCCAAACTAGTTGTTGCGGACAATTAACTACTTTCTTGCTATCCGCTACTATACCCAAACCATATACTTGACACCAGCACTTTATAATAATACATCAACAACCAACATCTTCCGAAACAATGCCCTACAGGAACTACTGGAACTACAGGAAGAACAAGATTAAAGGAAATACTTACCCTCGGCTCCTTAGGTGCATAGGATCGCACACGACAGCCTCCTTGATCGAAATCGAGAAGCGTATAAAATTCCTAAGAGAAAAGTTGCGACCTGATGGCCCACAATTTCAGAGACTATTTTTCCTAAAAGAGTACTTGGAAAAGATAGACACAGCTATCAATATACTGTTCGAGGAACTCCGGGATAGCACCACCAAATTCACGTCAGGGCCATCCAGCTCAGCTACCTTGGTGGAATCTGAGGAAGAAGTGGTAGAAGGAAAGCCTCTCGATGAAAAGTTCATCAACCCGATTGATCACCATCCTATTCTCAAGGAGCGCAGCCGAAGACCCTCTTGCTCGGCCCTCGAATTTCGCGACTATGAATTCCGTTACTTATAAGCTGTTCCACACAATCGACGCATCGTTTTACAGTTGGGAGTTTAGAGTTTACATTGAAATATTGGTTAGGAAGGTGTTGGCATATTTGAACACTTCGCATTGCCTCACTCCTTGAGCTTCGCTTGGCAGGAAGACGACCGTTTAATTCAAGTATCCTGGAGTTTGATGTTCCCGATTTTGAAAGTTGGATAGGTAGCAATGGCGTTTGGATTGGAAGTTACATTTTAGTCTCGCCTTGAACGGCGGACATTCGAAGCCGTACCATCTCAAGTAGAGTTTAAGTCCCTGGATTAGCCCTTTACTCTATAATGTGGATTCTATATTGGATGTCTAATGCTAGAGGTCAGAGAGGTCATGTATTGATGGAAAATATGTTCTGCTATGGTACGGAGTTAATTAAAGTAGTGCCTTCACAGTAAAAATTCTTGGTGATCACAACGTATTATAAGTGATCAATGTGAGGGATATAGGATCCAATCCAATCAGCCACCTGTGTATTCTCCCTTTCTCCCTACTGCGTAGAATATCACATATCTCCTATCTGTTTCTTTCGTCCCTCCCGATTACCCTTTTATTACCCCTATTCCATTACGCCTTTGAATCTTGTCCCATGGCATAGTTATCTTTACCCTTTCTTCACTTCTTTATCAAGTATACCTCACGATGCAAGTAATTTAAGATCAATCTAGCAGAAGCTGACTGAGCTTCTAGCGAACTGTATATACGGAGTTTTTGTTGATCAATATGAGTAGGGGTCTAACAAGGCATGTCATAGTTATAAAGTGACTGATAATATTTCATACCCCCTTAATAGCTGTTAACTACCTAGGTACCTACTCTAAGCGGGTATATACTGAACAGAGTCGGGTTGCTCGTGTATGGCCTTATGAATCGAGGTGGTACTCATTATTGACTTGTTACTGTATCTCTTACCGTGATAATAGGGCACACAATGGGCTTTGTTCAAAAGATACCTCACATGATGCTATTCTAATGCGGAGATGGATGAGACCTGTGCATGTCCATCGGTTCTCGATTGCAGCGCAGTTGCCCCTTACAATGACCTCAGAGTGGAATGCACAGTGACTTAAGGAACGATCTAATACCTACCGACTATAATCGTCCTGGATTACCCCATTTCTGACCGTATTCTGATGAGGTTCCTTCCCTCTTCTGCTATGCACAGAGCGCGACCCCATAAACGAGGCAATACGAATTTGCAAATTTCTCCAGGTATATAATAAATTGCGTGGGAATTGCAATAGAAGCAGTGCACCCTCTCTTCTAAGTGCGGCTGGCACATAAACTTGCGAAGCAGAGTCTATATTCTTCGCATTCCGCTTCTGTCAAAACTCTACCATCTACAGCAACAACCTCACTAAGGTCAAGATACTCTTCTACGGACACGTATCAACTTTCGACACGTTACTGATTAGGCGCCTCTGAGAGTAAGCGAAGCTATCAAGCTATCTTCATTGTCAATTCACACCTACACCATTGACAGAAAGCACCTTACGAATACAGCAAGATGGATTTCCTACGCACCCTCTTCGCTAATGTTGTTAGCCTTGCTGCCATCATGATTGCCGCCATCATGGTCACCGCCGCCATGTTTACCTTCGCCCAGTTGCTCAAGAGCTTCCCAATGTACTTCCGCAAGATCCAGTTGTACTTCCAGTCCGCTTATAGTGGCCCGAACCGACCTGCCTTCTCCGGACTGGCGTTCACCGTAGCTTACTTCGGTACCAAACCGTTCGTCTTCGAATGCGTCGGTGTTGTTATCTGGGCGACCATGCTATACATGATAGCTTTGGGTGAGACTCATTCTCTGCCATTGTACCTGTATCTCATCGTCCTCAATCTGCTGGGTGCCCATGCACTCCGAAATCTCGGCGGACCCTTTAGAGTCCTCCTCAACGACCACTGCGAAAAACTGGCAGTAAGCATAGCCCGATCCTAATAGGCTTTCTAGCCCAGCCACATTTCACCCCTTTTAGTCTGATTTGCTAATACTTTGCTCTCAACAGCGAGCTTACCGATGGGATCGACTCCTCCGCCTTGACACCCTACCCCCGCGCGAAAGTCAAAACGACTGGGCCAAGGCCGTAATGTACGTAGCAGACAGAGTCCATATTTCCTTTTCCGGAGCCAGTTGGGAAGACGTTCTACTCGAGGAGTTTCAGCGCGACAACATCCTGAGAACTCGGCCGGAGACATTCAAGGATCTACACGAAGAGGTCACCATCAGTGGCGGTCATCTGAAGCCAGAGTGGCGCAACCCACCATTCGCGGATGAGACTTTTACCGAGTCTACCGAAGAATACGTGGAGCCCCGTTTCAGATTTCTTGCCTTGGTTGAGGTTGTAGGTTTCACCCAAACTAACGAACTTCCAAGACTACTAGCAGATATGGAGATCGGCGTTTGAATTCCGGCTAAGGAGGAGGAGACTAAGGAGGAGGAAACTACCTACTTAAGCTGTTGATCATGGCAAATGGCTTATGATTGGGAGAAACAATGGCACGAATGGAGGGCTCGCCAATTCTTCGCACTAGTCCTACTTCTATTCCATCATGTACTGCGCGTACGCTTTCATTTTTAAGGAAAAAGGGAAAAAAAATAAAAAAAAATAAAAAAATAAAAACCGAAAAAAGTGTTTCATACTCCACGTGAATCCTTCTAATGTCCCTTGTAAAGAGAATCCTCGATTGTGTGAGTTGACTCCGACTCTCTTATTCATTGCTGAGTTCCACACCTTCACTTGGTATCGTGGGAATCAGTGTACCCATTCTAGTTGCAGGATGAAAATCCCCTTCCAACTCCAAAAGCCGTCTCACCTTGTCCAGCAAAAACTCATTCTCTATTTTTTCCTCTTCATCGTATTGGCTAGGAAACGATTGGGGCTTGAACTGAATACAGTCGTTAGCGATCTCGACGTAGCCGATGGGAAGATGTTGATCGAGAATGTTCAGGTTCGACTCCGCCCATGCGCGTGCTCCCGCCAAAGACGAGGCTTTCCGACTATCGTATTCGTAAGTCATGCAGCGCCCAATCTGAACCAGGTTAATACCCAGGTCGACAATTGGACTTGGAGAGGAAACCTGTGTGTCTCCACCAATAATCACATCGTTCTGTCTTTGGCCAAAACCGAAGTCGATGTAAGGTCTTGATCGCAGAGGATCAAACTCAGCGTTTGGAGATTTCCCCTTCACAAGGTTGTAGTATATGAATGTGTCAAGCGTAATGGGTTGGCACATGGGCCTGACTTTTGTGAGGTAAAGGAAAGCATTGGTGACGACTAATGCTAATTGAATTCGCTGGTTGATGGTCATTCGACTAGCTAGCCTCGCTCTACTAAGCTCTACAGCTAGTGTCATACCCCTCGACCAAGAATTCAGGCGATCCTTGAATAGCCAATGGACATCTAAATCACTCGTGATGTTCGGCGTTGGGGGAAAGACTCCGCCCCATCTTTCGAAGGCATGGGTGGTGGTGTTGCTGGTAAAGGCTCTGCATTTCTCAAGATTTGAGGCGTGTTGATCCTCCGAGAGACTTTGAAGGGATTGTAAAGAATCAAGTGAGGATTCCGCAACAAAAAGAGAGGATGGATGGGATTCCGACTGGCTATCGACTTGAAATGTTTCTCGTCTTTGAAGAGTGAAATAGATAAAGCCGCTTCCAGCTAGACAAAGATAGTCATGGTGCTGGAGGAAAATTCTGCCTTGCTTATCGAAATCGTCCGCGAGTTGTAAACAGATACGGTTATTGTATCCATTCATTGCTCTCAGTGATCGGTGAAGTCTGTCCAGAGCACTTTGAGTTCTTACAACCGTATCTCTTAAACTGTCCTCTCGAGCCTTGTTGGCAGAGGAGCATGGAACCAAACCTTTTCCCTGTCGGGGTCGGGTAAGAGAGTCCAAAGCATTGTTGAATTCGGTGAACTCGCTAATATAGCTGTAAAGCTTTTCCTTATCCCAGGGCTAGCCATCAATCCACGCTATTCAACGCGTGTCCACCCACTTCAAATCCACTACAATACAACTCCACTCCACGAGCCTTTGAAAATTATATAATTAATTTAACTTAAAGCTCTCGTAGATAGCTACTAATGGCTACTAGTAAACTTATTATAAAATATATAACGTAAATATTAGTATTTTTTAAGAGATTTATTAAGGAGATTAATAAAAATATTATTAAAGTAAGGGAAAAAATTTAAATTTTATTTTAAAATAGGTATATATTTACGTATAATTTTTCAATTTAAATAGCTATAAAAATAAAATTTATATTGTTAAAATTTTTAAACTTTTTTCTTTTTATTAATATATATAATAGTTAATTTTAATTTAAAATTATAATTAAATTATATTTAAATTAAAAAAGTTTAAAAAGCAATAATTTTTTATTACTTTTTAAATATAAAAATATTATTTATAATATTATTTATATTTATTATTTTTATAATTAAACCTATATTTTTAATACTTATATTAAAATAAAACTTAAAATAAAATAAATTTAAAGTTATTTTTAAATTTTTAATATTTAATTTATTTATTTATATATATATTAAAAAGTTATTTATTATTATTTTTTAACTTTATTAGCTTTGTTAGCTTTATTACACTTAAGCTTATTAACATTTAAATTAAAATAACATTAATTTTTTTTTAAATTAAAATATAAATCTTTTAATATATTTTATAACTAATTTTATTATACTTATTATTTATTTTAAAATATTAAACCTTTTTATTTTTTTATTTAATATTAATTCGATAAGTAATTTAAATTTATTTTTAATTTTTTATCCTTTAAAACTATTATTACTTATTAAAAACTACTTTATTTAACCTTATTAAATAAATAATAATATTTTTTTCTAATCTTATATTTTTAATTAATAATATATTATTTAATTTAACTTTTATAATTAATTTAATAAAACTAATATTTATATTAACTTTTTTAACTTTTTTAATAATTAAATTTTAAACTTTAATACTTAAATTAATTAATATAAATTTTTAATGCTTTTAATAATGTTTTAAAAGTTATTTAATTATTAAAAGCAAATAAAATAAATATTATTAAGCTTAGTAATACGATTTAAAAATCGAGAATTTTATTATTATTAATTAAAAGTAAGCTTATAAAATTTATATAAAAAATATTACATTTTTTTTCGTATAATATTTAAAGTATTTAAAACGTTATAAACCACTTATATAAGGCTTATAAAATCGAAGCTTTTATTAAAAAAACGTAATTAATAACTAAGTTTAAATATATAAAAAAATAAGTTAAAAATTAATTAAATATCGTATAAAAAATAAGCTTAAACCTTAATAATTTTAAAAAGTAATAGCTTATAAATAATTTTATTTATTACTTTAATAAAAATTACTTTTAATAGCTTATTATTATTTAAATTATCGCTTTTAATTAACCATTTTTTATATTTAAAAATAAAAAGTTAAAAAATATATTTAAATATTTAAACTTATTTATTAAAATAAAAAATACTTATATATTATATTATATTATATAAAAAAGCTATTAATATATTTAATTAATATAAAAATAAAATTATTTAAACCTTAAAAAAGTTACTTAACCTTATATATATTTTGTTTAATAATTAAAAGTTATTAAATTATTATTTTTTATATAATATTACTTATTTTTTTTAAAATAAAAAGAATAAATTTTATAAGCTAATTTTAAAGCTTTTTAATATTATTATTAATTATTTAAGATTTAATATATTTTCTTATATTTTAAATATTTTAAAGGAATATTAAATTATTAATAAAATTAACTACTTTATTTTTAATAATATTTTAAATAATAATATAATAATATAAGAAATAAAAAACACTTTTAAATTTAATAAATTAGCTTAATAAAAGTATTATATTAGCCATATATTAAATATTTTTATAAAAGCTTTATTATTTAATTATAACATTAATGCTTTTAAAAAATAACTATTTAATAATAACTTTTTTATAATAAATAAATAAAAGTTTTAATAATAAAAAGGTTTTATTAAAAAAGCTTATAACCTTATATAAAAAATATATAAAAAGGATTATTTAATTATATATTTAAAAATATTTAATAACTTTAAAACCTTTTAATATTAAAAACTTATAATATTATATTAAATAATAATATTAAATAATTATTATAATATTATATAATTAAATGTTTATTATAGCTTTAATAATTAATTAAATAGTTAATTTTTAAAAAGAAATAATAATAAAATTAAAATAATTTCTTAAAGTATATAACTTTTAAAAAAAGCTTTTTTTTATTTATTATTTTAAAAATTAATTATTAAATAAAAATTAAAAAATCCTTAAATACTTATTAAAGCTTTTAAAATATTATAAAGTAATTATATATAACTTAAAAAACAATAATATTATTAAGAAAAAAAAGAAAGGCTTTATAAGCTTATACGATAATATTTAAACTATTATTTATACTTTTAAATTTTTATTATTAAAGCTTAAAAAGTTTAAAAAAATAATAAAAAAACTCTTTAATTTTAAATACTTTTATATTAATATTAATTATAGTTAAATAAAGCTTAATAAATATTATAACCTTTTTAATAAAACTTTTATTTATTATATTATTATAACTTTTTATTTATTTTATAAATAAAATTAATTTAAAAATAATTAATTTAATAACTTTAATTAAATAATAAAAGCTTAATTTAAAGTATAAAAAGTTTAAAAATAATTATATTATAATATTAATTATAATATATTTATTAAGCTATTATAAAATTAATAACTTATAAAACATTAAAAATATAATAATAATTCTTTTAAAAAGTTTATTTATAATAATTATATAAAATTTAAGTTATTATAAAATATAAAATTAAATTATAACATTAATAAGTATAAATATTAGCTTTAAAATTTTAATTTTAATAATAAAAATATTAATAATTTTATTTAATATTAATATTAACTTTAAAATAAATATTTTTAACTATTTAAAATAACTTTAAACTTTTTTATAATATAGCTAATATTAATTAAATATAAAAAGCTTTTCTTAATTATAAATTAAATAATAATATTTATATAAAATACTTTAAAAACTAATATAATAATTATTTATTAAATATTAAAGTTTTAATAATAAATAAAAATAATTAATAATTTAAATCTTATATTTTATTTATATATTAATAAAGTTAAAAATAATAAAGTTAATAAAATAAGCGATAATTAATTATTAATATAATTTAAAAAATAGTTTAATATTATAAATAATATTAAATAAATAATTAAAGTAAATATAAATAACTTTATATTTAATTTTAAGCTAATATTAATTAACTAATTTATTTAAATTTAACATAATTTTATTATTAGCTTTAATTAATTATTTTATATAACTTTATTAAAAAGTATTATAAATTAGTAAATTTAAACACATAAGTAAAATCGATTAAATTAACAAATTACCTATTATATATATAAAATAACATTAAAAACACACTTTTATTTAATTTATATAAAAACTTATTTAACTTATTATTATTTTAACATAGTTATTATTTACTAATTATAATATACCTTAATTATTATATATATAATATTATATTACCTTTTTTTAAAGCTATTATAATGTTAATATTAATAATATTAACTTAAAACGATAATAGCTTAACTTATAATTTCTTTTATAATTATATTACCGATTAAAAGCACATTTATTACTTGGTAATACATTAAAATTAACCTTATAAACCATATATCGCTTTAATTAAATCGTATATTATTTTTTATTAAAATATTTATTTTTCGAAATATTTGTTAAAAAAATAAGCTACTTAAATATAATTTTAATTAATTGTTTAAAATATATAAGGAGGCTTAAAATACTTATTTAAACTTTATTTATAAGTAAAGTTTTAACGTTATTATTAAAAAAAGTTTTAAAGTTAAAAGCTTAAAAGGTATATATAACTTTAATAAATTTTTAATTTATTATTAATATATATGTGATTAATTTTAAAAGGCCGTTAATATAAGTTATAACAAATGTTAATAAAAATTACGAAAATGTAAATGCTTTTATAAAGAAATTATTTCGTATAAAAAAAGGATAAAAAGTAATATATTATAATTAAGGAAACGAATTATAACTATAAATTAAGTTTTAATTAAACTAATATATTTTTTAAACGTTAATAATATTAGTAAATTAATTTTAATATAATTATATTAAGGTTTTTATAAATAAGTTTAATTATAAGTTATTAAATAGTTTATTTTTTATTAAATTAAAACTTTAATTTTAATATTATTAATCCTAATATTTAATAAGCTTTAAATTTTAATTTTAATGATTTTTTAATACTTTAAAAGGTAATAAATTATATATAGTTATAAAGTATTAGCGAATTATAATTATTATAAAAAATATATAAAATATTTAAAATAAAATAACTATTTAATATATAACTATTACTTTAAAAGTTAAAATAATATTAAGAATAATATAAGATTAATTATTAAGTTAATGTTAACCTAATAATAAAAAGGGTTATTAAAATATTTTAAACTTTTAAATAATATATAAAAATATAAAAATAAAATTTTAAAGTTTTATTATTTAATAATATATATAAGGTAAGTTTGTTAATTATAATATTATAATATATTTTTTATATATGTTTCTTATATTAATTTAATATTTTTAAGTTAATAAATTTAACATATTATTATTTAATATTATAAAAATAATGTTTTTATATATAAATTTTTATGTTATTTTTAATTTATCGTTTAATAAGTTAAAAAATAACTTTTTATAATATTTAAGTTATTTAAAGTAATTGTAAATTAAATATAAAATATTGTTATTATTAGTTATTTTAAGCAATTTTTATAAAAA